ACACGAAAGCTGGCCGGTGACAATATATAGATGTACAATTTCTGGTTGCCGTCAAGATAAAGAGACACTCGATCCACTTGTCCTTCCTTCTCTTGAGTCCATTTCTCCACCTTTCCTAAAGTGAGCCAGTTAATTCGACTCTCGGGTGTAAATTCATCCGATGGAACATAGCGGAAGTAAGGCATTGTCCTTCAGTGTTTCGTGTTCTGCAATCGAGAATAGATGAAGGTTCCAGTTAGAATGTTCAGGTAATAGCAAGCTGGGAAATTTGTTCGGGAGGGACCCAGAAGGCAGGCGAGTTCATAGAAATAAAGGAACAGTCGCGAGCATTTTCGCTTGGAGTCTCGAAGCCAGTTGTAAAAATACGGTGGGTCCGGAGAAAACATCATTTCAAACCTTGAACCGCGGTCAAAGTGAACACAGTCGAATTTATAAGAGCGTATATATACAAAATAGGAAAACAATCACACTAGCAGTACACGTTTTTATTTTGAATTCAGGCTTCTTTGCAATTGCGATGATCATTGTAACTTGAAAATCATTTCAAATCGGCAGTTCAATTATGAGGCATTCAATATATTCACTCTTGATTTTCCAGACGATTTTTGCCAACAAATTCCATCGCACAACTTCTAAACCATGTATCAGCAAAGCTGAAAGTCGGATGTTTCTTCTCATACAATTATATTTTAAATCCGGCATCCAAAACTCGAAACGCTAGATCTCAAATAAAGTCGAAAAATACGACGATCAAATCTCAGCCGAACCACAAATCGGTAGTGCCAAAAATTCAAATCAATTGTGGTTAAGTTTAATCGTTCCCCTTAGCAAACAATCACCAGTGGTTGCACAAATCGCATGCATGGGTAGGACGGAAAATCAATCGCTAATGAATAATAATAATAATAGTAATAATGACAATAATAATAATAATAATAATAATANGCTAAATCCAGGAAACGCTATAGCAATGGCCATCTGCCATATCATTGTTCATTTTATTACTCAGCGCGCGCTCTGGCGTGGCGTGTGAATTTGCGTGCGCAGTAAGGATGCGCAGAAACAATTAGCGCGAACTTCCTTAATTTCGCAAGGTAATTATTACCTACCAGAAAACTTAGAAGGCTACTCTTGAATCCAAAATTTAAGAAAATTTTGGTATATTTTCGTTTTCTTTGTTTAGGCGCTACGGTCACATGTAATAGAAACCTTCAAAGGCTTAGATATTTTGAGTAATCAGTATTTGCCTGTGGTTTGAAAGCGGTGATGCTTCTGACTCGATAGTCCGTTTGGATCAAAATGAGCCGTTTACCTTAACCGCTTAACATTAAAACAAGAGCGAAGAGTTTAAATTGCTTTTCTCTAGCAGTCCGTGTCTCAGAAATGCCCAAAGAACTTCCTTTCGCGACCCGAAATTGACTCAGTGAAAAATTGAGACAAATTGCCTTAATTTTCGGGTTCACACTTTTCGCCCCGGACCACGTGACCCAAAACGATTGATCGCGGCGAAATATTGAGGCCTAGGAACTAGGCAAGTGCAACACTAACATGGCAGTCCCCAATGTGCAGACTGGTAAGGGCTGGACGGATCACAAACTTTGAACTTTGAACGAATGTGGACAACTTCAGTCTTCTCGCATTCAAGGCTAATTTGTTGCTCATGCTTACACAAGTTTCAATCTTTTGCAGTCTATCACTATAAGGATGTTTGAGGATTGTGTATATCTGGTTGTGATCCTGAAAGTACAATGAGACGAATTCTTGACTTGATGGGTCTTGAGCAACGTGACAGCACATTTTTAGGCGCAAGATATAACTGCAAGATACAACTTTCTGAGCTAGGGGTTGAAACCCTTGGAAAGTGCTCTCGATCTCTTGTTTCTGGTTTCTCTTGTTCCACTGCTAGATCTATTGTCACAATGGAACCCCTTTCCAAGTGGTGACTACCCGAAAAACTCTCCCTTAAGTCGGCTAGATCTAGCCTCCGTGTGAAACACTCTGGAGCGAAATGGACAGAACAAAATTAAAGGACAAAAGTCTTTGTGGGCTTAAAATCAGGGCGATGTTTGTGCACGAATTTCAGCCACTTTCCTCTCACGGCCTCGTCGTTTGGGAATAGATGCATTGGCACATCTGAAGTAGCATTGGTATTAGTGCAACTCTTTTTCCTGGGCCCTCCAGCTACTCAAAACTTCCCCGAAACATGCTTCTTTCCCGCCATATTTTGGTCTGCGACCTTGCACACGAATAACGTCACAAAGGATTTTTGGCCGCTCGAAAAATGTCGCAAATTTCGCTCCGCGGACTGAATTTTCAAACGCCTGAAAAAAGTTGATGGTCTTCACGCAGAGAAGGAAAACGATAAAAAATGAAATAAGGGGGATAAAAACTATGTTATTGCATAAAAAAAATGTGGAAGTAAAATTTCGTTTCATGTGCACTTTAATAGAAACGAGCGATCGCGAACGATCGAAAAAGCAAATCGTCTCGTACACACGTGCTTTGCGATGATGTAATTTGTTTTCGTCCAGCCAAAAATTCTCACTCCAGTCTGCATTGGGACTGCATTCCCTTTTTTGTCCAATGCAATTTGCGTGAAAACCAGCTCAAGTCGTTCAAGGAAAACCCCAAAACATCGAAAACAACGAGAGAAGCCACAAAGGAGAACAAGAATGACGCAGCAGCTGGACACGAAAACGAGGTCCAAAGTCCCTTAAAAAAACTTAGAGGGGCGGCCAATTTGCAGTCTTCACAAAAAAAAAATGTCGACTTCTCACGGCTGCAGACAGACCGAAATGAAATTAGGATGCGTTCTCTTGTTCCTCGAGAACGCAATAAACCGTGACACCACTGATTAGCTCTTATGCAAATATCGCTTTGGCTTCCAAACCTGCCCCGAGGGGTCTCACCATCAGTTAAGAGACTTAATTCATTTCTTTGGGTGTCCACGATTAAAAAGCAAGGGAAAACTGTACACTGCATATAGTTCTCTGTCGGCAAAATATAAAGCGATATAGAGAAAGCGCTGTTTGAGAACCAAAATGAACGCTCGTTTCTATTTTAAATATTAATGTTACTGTGGTAATCAGCAGATTGATATTATCTGCTGTTCTATGCTGAAGACGCGGAATGACCCGTCTGAGACGACTTGTGCTACATATGTCTCGAATAAACACGGTAAAAAGACCGTTATTCTTCTTGATCTTAGAAAGACTGATTATGCATCTTGATCTTCGCAAACGCGCCGCAATAGAGCGGATCGTTTTCAAGGAATAAGCCATCCTGTGTTCGTCTGATGCCAGACGAACTGCGAAATGCGTAAAAAGAAGCACAAGAGATTCTTGCGCAAGCTTGTGCCATTCGGATTATTCGTCCCTGTAGGCTAACGGCTCCCGTTATAAAAATTTCAGACTTTCACTTTAACTGGGCGTACAATTGCCCCTAAGTACATCAGGTGATAAACAAACTGAAACAAAGATCGAGCAAACAAAGCATTGGATGGGAGAAATCATTACTTTGTATCATTTTACTCCTTACCTAGAAAGCACCTGCTAGTAAGACAGCAACCGCGATTCAAGATCAAATCCAGGGAAATCATAGATTACTGAGCATAAATATTGCTGCAGTTGATTGCAGCCTTTCAATCCCGGAGGAATGATTGACAGACGTTTGTTGATCACCTGATAGCAAAATGCGGAAAATTGGTCTGGAAGGTCAACTAAGGGGGGAGGAGAGGGTATGGGCACGGGGTAGTAACAGTCTGGCCATACTCTTTTGTCGCGCTAAGTTCCAACTTCAAAATCGCATGTGGAAACTCGGTGCGATTTTTACGCAATTTTAGTGCAATTTGTCTCCGCGATGTCGCAGGGGGTTTGAACTTGTTCGAAACTTGATACAATTTTGCTGCGATTTTTTTTTTAATTATTAAACTGCGACAATGCATCTCGAATCGCAGTGTATCGCGGCAACAAATTGCACTTTATCTATTGCACTGAAATCGCGGCAAATTCAGTGTTGAGGAAACAAAATTACGAAAAATAAACTTGAACTTACACAAATATCAATCGAGCCGCACAAATATAAATCGAATCGCATACATAAAAATCCAACTTACACAAATATAAATCGAACCGCATACATATAAATCCGACTTACGCAAGTATGTCACAGAGGAGAAACACCGCCCCCCCCCCAAAAAAATATATATATATAAGTAGGTTTACGCGTAATATTTGCTCTTCTGTATATGTCCTTATCGTAAATTAGTTCCGCACTTTACTTAGAATTGTAAACTTATCGTAATCTACAGGAAATGTCATAAGATAACAATGTGTGAATCATAAATGTAAAATAAAATAAAATCGGAAACCGTGCAATGAAAGAAGCCAAGAAAATGAAATGTTAAAAAGGCTAATAGATAAACTACTTATCAAAGTCTTTAGTCTGAGACTTACCGAGTTACCTAATCAAGGTCAAAACCTAACCCCTCAATCCTGCGAAGCTATTTTGCTGTACCTTCAAGGGACACTGACACCATTTTTAGCATGACTTGGATATCTCAAAAACATATATCGATCACTGGAAGCTCAACAATAATGGTTTTATTTTGTAGAGCAGTATCCGACAAATGATTAAAACCCATTAGGAATTGAGGATGGCTAACGATGGCGTTGATGGAAACGGATTGTGATATGGATTTTGGAAAAGCGTCAGGCAGTCAGTTTTTTCAAAAGTTCAAGTTTGACTCGAAGATCGTTGAAATTTTGCAAAAATGATGCTGCAGCGTGGATGTCTTCACGAAATTGCTTTAAATCATTTAGTTAAAGTTAATGAAGTTCTTATTACATAAATGTAGGGACCAATTCGTGAATTTATACTGAACGGTTTTGAGCAAATATATCGTGACAGTGTCCTTTCAGACGTCGACAAACGTGCGTACTAATTTTTGCCACGAGCAACCTGCATTGAAAATGCTATCCACGTCGATACGCGGTTTTGATTTAGAGATATGGAACGTTACTGAAATTTGTGGTAACCTGAGATACTACTACTACTGATTCCTAGCTCTCCTCTGGGAGAATAGGGCCATTGACTTGACTCTGGTAACCCGAGATATCAGCGTGTGATTCAAGCTTCACAATTTTAGGAATTTTATTCAGTCAATATTCAAGATTGTCCCGTCAATTACAAGTTCGTTCTAAGGCCCTCCATTGGGTAAAAGAACTGCCATTGCCGTGTGTTACTTGACCAAGGGTTCCTTCCCTTTTGCAGTGGCGGATCTAGAAGAGGGGGCCGGGGGGCCCGCTCCTCCTCCACCCCCCTTATTTTGGGTAAAAAGGAAGAAATCACAGGAGGAAGAAAAGTCGGTAGGGCAAGCAAAACAACCCCCCTCCCCCCGCCCCGCCCTATCCCCGCTTAGCTCAAGGTCTGGATCCGCCACTGTTTTGGTGGGTAATAGTAACACAATTGTGCACCACATGTACTCTCATATGATAAAAGCAAACCAAACTGGATATGTTTAGTCGTTCAAGTAGTTCCTAACATAGTAGAACGATTTACTGTCAGTCAAAGTACGCTATCATTTTTTGATCGGAAACGCTTAGCTTGATGTTCATTGCAGAAAACAGTTGTCTCAAATGGCCCTGTATAAATAACTCACAGGCAAGGAAATCTGCTAAGTCTTCGTAGAAACCAGGCTCGAATAAGAACGATAACCGGTAACTCTGGATTCGCAAACTCATAAATTGCTGCTTTTCATGTACAACCTACATGTATGTAGATGCTATGCCAGTAAGCTATGTAAAATATATGTTTTCGGTATTACAAAAGTATGTTAGCTGCCGTATAGCTGTCTTATTGAAACTCTATTTTGTCTACATGCTTAACATGGTCTATGTAAAAGCTATGTATTCAAATGAATTTTGAAGTGAGTTGATGACACTCAAATGAAATAGCTTTTAAATAAAATAGCATCTGCATTGCCATATATGTGAAATACAACTTACATAGGTTTTACATAACACTAAACAGAGCTGGAATATTCCCTTATAGTGATTACATACCATCAAAAGTAGAACTTACGCTGCGAATAGTGTGAGGGTGGACTGGTCACAACTAGGACTTTTTATCACCATTTATTCCAAACACTCGAATAAAAACAACCATCAGGGGAAAATTACATGTATGCATTGTGAAAGTAAAGATCCAGACTACATCTGATTTGATTGAACAACTTTTAATAGCAATTTGTCTAAAATGACTCTACGTATTTCTAAGAACGAGCGTCTGGTCAAGGGCAACTTTTTAGAAAACCCGACCTGCTGTGAAGACTGGACTAAGGTTTAAAGTATACAAGGATGAACTCTCTATGTTCCATCAAATGCATGTTCCATTAAAACTGTTTATCATCGAAACTAAAATCTGCAATAAATTAGAGGAACGACATACTGCGAGAATCTTTTTTTCTGTGGTCTGTCTGTCACTTCCAGCTTTGTACAAATAGATGCCGCACGAAAAAAACTCAATAAAACGCAGACTAAAGCTTTCAAATAAACCCCACGTACTACTCAAATAAACAACAGTAGCTAACTCTTGATCCACGCTGTGGTCAGTTATCGGTAGGGGTGAAATCCCCGGGACGCTGCGGTTCCCCTCCCGAAGGATTCCCCATAGCCTGGGCCTGCCCCAGTGTACCCAGCAGGTTCAGCAGAGCCGTAGGTTCCAAAACCACTGTCAGATGAGAAGGAGGTCCGGGTCGGGCCATACTGCAGGTCTTGTTGTTGATAGTTACCCAGACCTGAAAAAAAGAACTGGTGTGAGCAAAAGAAGTACATGCAAAAAATATCATACCACCATCACGGCAGTTTTGCTACTTTTGGTCAAGACAGTGCTAAAATTTCACCGAAGTACATGTAACTTTGCTGGAACGGGAAATGCTTTTAAAAACCATGATGAATATATTATGTGAACTTTTGAAAGCAGAATTATATATTCAAAATTCCTCCCAACAGTATCAGTCTCCCTCGACCTTGTTTGAATAATAAGATGGCTTTGTGTACTTCAACTACATGTGTAAGCCTCCTACTAAGACTCGTGGTGCAGGCCACTTACATACTTATGATCAAAAGCAACTGAGAACTAACCATATGCTGAGTAGTCAGGTGCTCCTGCACTGTCGACATGAGGTGCTCCAGCTGCTGCCCCAGGCTGTCCAGCTTGGGATACTTGCATGCGGCTGTAGTCTGGGTAGCCTCCTGGCTGTGGTGCTCCAGCTGCTGCTGCCGCTGAAGCTGGGGTAGGTTGCTGGCTGGTCACCCCTGCCCCTGCACCATATCCAGCTGCTCCATAACCTTGGAAAATGGACACAGGACAAGGTAAATTAACCCTATATTACTCCCCCAGGACTTATTTATTCACAGGTTGTTTAAGACAGGTGGGGTAATAGATAAGAGGAGTTTATGGAGAGGGGGGCATTATTTGATTTAAAGCCAAACGTTGGCAAGTTAAACAACACAAGGGCCCCGGAGAGGGGCTTATTTGAAGGGGAGCTTCATAGTGTGGTATAAACCATTCAGTCTGATTTCTGTGTAAGTGATGAAACTACTGTCACATATGCTGTTTACAAATTGTAACATAATACATCACAACAATAATAATCATTACCTGGTGCAGAGCCTCTTCCATACATAGCAGCTGCAGCATTAGGGTCGTATGTAGCAGCAACACCAGGTGCTGCAGCTCCTACCAACAACAAACCCATTCAATATGAGACTAACATTATTTTGACTAGCACAAAATTATTAATTTGGTCTTCACATGCCACTCCACCTGCAAGCTGTAGCCCCAGTCATTCTAAACATAGCCCTCCAAAAGCTTTACAGTACTTCTGTAATTGATTTTACACAGAAACTTTCCCACAAAACTGCAGTTGCCCATCAGGCAAGCAAAGGGTAGAGTCAGGTAGCCCCACCACAAAATCCATTAGTATTGGGCTATTGGACAGGACTTTCTTTGCATGCTGTTTTAAGTCATTACATTTATGTCTAAAAACTAGTCTATTAAAAACACTAAGTATGACCGTAACCTTCTGACGACAACACACCATGGCTTGACAAAGTGGGTATAAATCTTTGGGAGATTCAGTGGTGTCTCTTTAAGGACGCCTTCCAAACAGCTTAAACAGTGAAATATTTGCCCACTTACATGTCACGAACAAGTTTCAAACACACTGTTTCTAACCTCACATAAGTGGACAAATCTCTAACTTGGACACTTACTAGTCTCACAAGAGTTTACTTTATGGGAAGTTGAACAGTACTGTAACTATAATACAAATCATTGTTAAGAATGTTATGTTGATCTGCCTCTACTGTACATACCATAGCCATATGGTGATGGACCAGGTGCTCCGGCATAACCAGGGGTAGCAGCAGCCGCTGAACCAGGACCCATGGCACCATAACCAGGAAAACCACGACCCATTCCTATGGGATGCTGCATGCCGTAAGAGGCTAAAGTAACCACAATAAACAAAAACCCATCAGAATCTTTACAATATCCACACTTAACTTTTTGATAGAAGTTTTCCTATAACTTAAGTGTAGAGTAACTTCAATTCAAGAAACATGCATGTACTTAGGCATTACATTAAACTGAGTGGTACAAATAAACCACTACCATTTATTTAATTTCTTTGGTAGGGTGATAAACATTACCACTTGCAAAAGTTTGAGTGTAAATCTGCATCACTGCATCATATACATGTGTCCAGGATAATGATGGCTTGTTGTCATACTGGTACACCAGGTGTTTGTATCACAGAACAGATGTGGAAAACATAATGTACGAAAAAATTAAAATGAAACATGGTGCACTAAATAACAAAACACTTAGGATTGGGTGCTTCCAGAAAATATCCATACCCTACCATGGGTGGCATGAACATTTCAACACCCCTTGCCTTTGGAAATTCCAAAATGCTGTACCCCCCATGCCCTCTGAATTCCAAAGTTGTTAATTCCCCCTCCCTTCCCGATTTCCATTTGTTACTTCAACCCTCTGGAATTCCTTGTTTGACTCCCTACGATTTTCAAAAGAAGAGATTTTACGCTCCTGCATCTTTCCAGAAGTTTTTGCTACTAATTTTCCATCAAACAACTGTCTACAGAGCTCGAAATTGTGACCGATACAGTCACATGCATTCATGGCTAAATGTTCTGTGACTAAAACTTCCTCCTATTTAGTCACAATTTCCTAACTTCTTTTTGACTAAACCAGTGAGGAAATAAAATTTTCAATTTTGGGGGGTTTTAATTACTATGGAAATTAGAAAATGCATGGCCAAATCCTGCCTAATTTACTTTCGATATTACAAACGACGTTCACTTGATGAGATGTCATTACAGTGGTTTATTACGAGTATACATCACTGGCACATAGTAAATAAACACGGCAAGTCGGTCGGCAGGTCGGCATTTGTCACAAACACTAATTGTTATTATTAATCATCAATTATTAATCTGACAAGAAATTCATCAACTTTAAGGCCTCTGGAAACGAATGTACAACCCAGATTTTATCAGTTTTCTTTTGTAAATAAATGTGCACACATACGTGATCGATCGATGCGTGTCTTGTATCCTGGTTTCCGCGGTCGTCAACAGTGTTGTCAGTTCATTTGTGCATTCACACTCTCGTCTGCTCCCCCTAGAAACACCCCCCATACCCTCGGAATTCCAATCGTAAGTACCCCCAATGCCTTTCGATTTCCAGTCCAAGAACACCCCCTTGCCCTTGGAATTCCAGAAAACTGCCCATGGTATAGGTATGGATACATGTATTTTCTGAAATCACCCATTGTTGGCTATTTGCTTGGGGAAAACCAGCTAGTTCATACTTGGATTGGATACAGTATCGTAGAAGCACCAAAATTCCATTTTTGTTTTCACCTTTCAATTACCACAATTACAGGACTACATGGAACATTGCTACAAGGTGTAGACTGGTGTTTCAAAGAAAAATTTAGAAGTACAGTATACAGGGATGCTACTGTAAGTCCTTGTCACTCCTTTCACTAACTAAAAATGAAGGTATAGTCAAACTGTGGCACCTTGCTGTGGATACGCGCCTGCACCATAACCAGGATGGCCTACAGGATGCTGCTGATAAGCATTCATGCCAGGGATTCCTCCCGCCATGCCGCTGGGCTTGGAATCACGTTTCTCTGCTCTCTTCACTTCCACCTAAAACACACAACAATAAAGAACAATAAGACCATGTAACAGACTCAGACAAGAAGAATAATGGCCAGTATTTAATAATAAAATATTACTGCCAACTATTTTTGATTCCATTACAGGCAACTGGTACAGCACAGGTGTTAAGTGTAATAAGTGACCCACAGTTACATATTAGAATTTTAAAAATAATTACGCTGAGAATTATATCAAATTCCCCTGGTCCATGAAACTATAAAATGTTGATTGTACCTTAACTAAAAAGATATCATTTATAGACTTTTCAATACAGCCCAGATTAGAAATTGTATAACATGAGATAGAGAAACTATCACCAGCAATGAGAATGCCCTGAGATCATCCTACTCAAACATTAACATCAGAGCTTTCACTCAAAAGAATAAGGTGTGCAGCTGTTGAATGGAGAGTTCTCCTGAATGGAGACACATGTACAGCCAAGCCAGCTGGAGCCAGAGTCAGCACACAACTGAGAGACTAGACTTTACTGTGCACGCTTTAATAGTTTAAGACCTCTATGACCCGCTAGAGTCATGCAAGATCCTTAGACGATTTCCACTGACCAAGTGGATAATTAAGTTCATGACAACATTGATTTGTCTTCACAAAATTAATATGACTTGGGTAGACAGAGCACGTAGGAAGAAACACTTCACCAAAGTCAAGGTCGGAAGTGTTGGCACATACTTAATACAACTACATAAAAAAAACCCACTTGTTTCGCTAAATAAAAATTAACTGTGTAGATAGTTGCAATTTGCTTTATAAACTAAAGGTCAAAATAATGACAGAAAGTTTCTTCTATCAAATTTCAAGTTCTTTCCACTGTAGAAATCTCAAAGTATTCCTAAGTATTATCAGATCCACATTTTATTTTCACTTGCTTTGTTGCAAATTAGTACTTAAGAAAAGTGCAGAAAGTTTTGCCCCACAAGTTGTAGTGGCCCATATGTATCTTATTTTTCTCGTCAAAGAAACTTTTGAAAATATTAATAAAATTCTTCTTAACCACAAACAATATACACCAGAGCTTGTAATTATGTGCCACTTTTCTAATTTAAAATTATTTCAGTGGATAAAATTCATAAATATGGCAAAATTGGTTGCCTTACAGAACGAACCTCACAAAAATTGTTAAATAACAGAAAAAATAAAAATTATGGAGTAAGGGAGTACATTTCCCCAGCTTTAAACTCTATGACATTCTTCATAAATTATTAAGTCAAAAAACCAAGAAAACGTTAAGAAGCTAAATAGTTCACATAAAATATTCACAGATTTAGAATAACTGATATACAGTACTAGATTTTGCACTCATGGGGTCATGGCCAGTTGTTTTTTTTATAAATATTGTTTTGATAGGGTGCCTATAATAATTGCAGGCAAACATCAATGGGGTATGAAGGGGGCAAGGAAAAATTAAATATACTTATTAACAACTTCTTGTTGGAAGAAAACAGGTACAAGTTATAACAAGTATCAAGCAAAAAAAAAGGTGTCGCCAACGGAACATTTCCTTTTGCAGTGAGTTTTATCAATGTTTACTGCACGAAACCACAGTACTGAAGACGCCACTAGACATTAGACAAACATCACATCAAACCATAAGTAGTTATTGTAATCCTTGAGATAGCACTTGTACCATGCAAGTGTTCATATTACCATAATATTGGTTATTAGAGCTAGTGTTTGCTAACTTTTTTTAATCAATCAATAATGCAACACCAGTTAATGCAAATTATATGGCAAAATTGTACAGAGGGAAAACAAATTATATTCATTTGAATGTAGTATTAACATTTTCTGATAGAGGAAATTTAAATTAAAGGTAAAAAGTTATGATTCTGATACCAACAGCTGGAAAATAATTATAAAGAAGAGAGCAAACAAAAAAACAAAATAAGGACGAGCAACTAGAAATACAGTCTATATAGAAAACTGGTTTAGATGAACAAGATGAATCAGAGTATGATTGAATTTGATGTTTTAAAAAAAGGTAAGACAAATTTTAAATCTTTACATTAATGACATGGAGCATTAGTTTTCCTAATTAGGTGATAGTCAGGGCACAATTTTCCTGTCAAGCCCACCCACATGATGTTCACAGCCGGCGTTCCAATAATATAATATTGTGGTGGTAATATTCATGATAAACTGCAAGGGTTCAAAACCCCTTGGCAATCTGTGTAGTCTTAAGCCTAAGAAGAAGCAAATATAAGAAATAGTAGGGTTGAGATACATCCAGAGCAACAACAAGCACAGTTATGTGGTATGAATAAAGTTAGTCTGAGCCATTGATAGCAATCCAATGTCACTTGAGGCTTTGGCCTCGAAACTTTCATTGAGTATCCATCAGTCATAGAAATTCTTCATCAGCAAGCATGGCTCACTAAACTTCCTTCTGACTTTCTCCTCTTAATTAACCCAATTATGGTATTAACTTAACCAATGCCTTCCCATGGAGACAAAATTTGGGGATGCAACAAAAGACCCCTCAATAACCACTAACAATACACACACATACGTGTACTAATATCTAATATTAAGTAACTAAACCATAACTACACCGTTTTTCCATTGATTTGGTGAAAATGTATATTGGCAGTCTTCTCAACTGGTTGGCTTGATTCAAACGTTACAAAACCAAAGCCTAATATAGTATAATATAACATCATAAAATAAGTTAATTCCTCAATAAAACAAGTCTACAGACACTAACAACACGACTGCAAAACACAACCACCTCAACAGAAGACAACATGTGACACAAGAATACACATGAAACAAACAATCCCCAATGCTGGACGTCATCTAGTGCAGTCAATTACTTGCAGAGCTTTCATCTTGATGACCAGATCCATAACTTCACTGCAGGATGCATTAGGCAGGTCATTTTATGGTGGAGATGCTGTAATCTTCAAAGTGACTTTTTTACAAGTTGCACATGTACATTGGCCTTTTTTTTTTTCACAAACGACACAGTATTTTACACTTATACAGAAAAGTTACAACATATAGACAGATCATGGACACTCCAAATACAGTGACAAAAATTGAAAACAAAACAACTTCTATTAAACTACTACACAACAATTATTTGTACACATGCACAAATAAGCAGTTTTGGTTTGACCTTGAAAATGTCTTTTTTTATGAGAGTTTTCCTTCTAATTGGCATAACAATTGATTGATAATGTTGCATAAGCATACATGTACATGTACATGAACATTTCTCTAATTCTCCGTTTGATTTTTTATGCACAGAGAATAAGATGGATGTGCTGAACACTCCAAACTGGCAAACTCAGTCTCAAGTATATAATCCACAGAGAGATGCATTTCTATTAATTATAATGTTTTAGGACTTAATCAATTTTACAAGCAGTTGCACTACATGTCTTGTGTGTTTGCATTTGTGCAACCAAATCAAGTAAAATCAAATCAAATCAAGTATTTGCTTACATTCATTAAAGCGATCAAACCTCCTCAATCCATTTGTTTACTGTTTAAAAATGTGTAATAATTTCAAAATCAAACCAGAACGCCTCTAACACAAATAAACAGTCAGATAAACACATACACTGTAAACAATGGTACAGGGCCAGGATAACACTAGATTTCCCAAGTTTAATTTACGTAACTCAATTATAATAACTTAATTAATCTTATTTCATTTATTACGCCAAATTATTGCAATTGTCTAACATTTTTAAAGTAAGGTTAGCTACATGTCCAATTTTTATTTTTCACAGCAATTTAATACTAATTAACTATAAACTTTTCAGCTAATTAAATACTCGGTAAAGTAGTATTACTGATTGCAGCAGTATGGTACTCTAAAAATCCAAGTTCTAAATAAGAAGCCTTGTAAACATAGCTTTTTTTAGAATACTCATAATAAGAAGAATCTATAAAATTAATATGGAACTAGAAATTAATTTAGTTCTTGTGGTATCTGACCCTGCTTTTCCAATACCAACAACTGTTACATTACACCACTTAACACTGCTACCTACAGTACTAACATATAAATATGGATTGAAATGTATATAGCTGTACCTAAAGTAGAAATAATTAAATAAAATTAGTACATATTTCTAACATGCAGTAAGGGCATAAGACTGAACTAGCATGACACAGTAACATGACCTTGACTAAACAAATCTGTATCTTAAACACTTTGCACTACTTATGCCAGATTATAAAATTTATCTGAACCTCAATAAAAACTGGATTAAAAATGCCATAGTGCTCACTGTGTCACATAATTTAAAACATGCCAAGCTGAGATTTTAATGGCCTATAACTTAATATATTTTCAATTGGTCTTTGGGGATACAATCAAATAGACTGTAGACTGAATATTTAAGTAAACTTATTGGCTTATAGATGGCAATGAACTACAGACTATAATATACAGTGTAAATACTTCTTCTATATTATTATCACAATAAAAAAATTGGAGAAATGTGTCATCTTAAAAAAGGGCTTGAGCTGCCATTTCTACAATACATGTATGTCTTTATTTACACAGAAAGGAAAGCCAAGCACTCTAAAAAGAAAACAAACAACTGGATACTTTTTTATGTTTTGTTACTCTTGGTTGAAGCAATCAAATTCAATGACTAGTACTACAAATTAATCCATGAAGGACTAGCCTTTGACACCACCTCCTTTCACTCATACTGTATATTTTGATCAACTACAAAATAATATGAAAGAATAAATGACTTCCATTGTTCATTCAAAGCATTAAGCAACCCCTACAAAACTCCCTAATGCACATGTAGGATTCAAATTTGACTGAGGAGCCCAAAACTAGGACAGGTAGAAGCACAGCCATGAACTTTAAGAAGCTGACACAGTTCCTCAATACTCGTGATGGTATAAAGCATCAACCATGACAAATAAACCTACCTCTCATTCTTTTTGTCCCATCCACTTGATTGTTCTCATACATCAAGTGCACATGTGTTACCTAGACAAACATGTTAAGAAATTCTCAGTCATCATTGCCACAACTAGCATAAAATATCACACCAGTCACCTCCAAACTGTTATTACTATTATTATTGTTGTTGTTATTATTATTATTTTTATTTTTATTCTGTAATTGTCCCACAAACTGATATTAGTTACACGTACATATAATGTAAACCAAAGCTTACTAAAATCTTAACTATTTTACCAAACTGTAACATTGTGTATACATGCATGTAGCATGAAAGCAAGCTTAAGATACATGTGATGAAACCAAGCATAGTCAGACCACATGAGCACTGTCTACAACACCCCACCTCTACATACAGTGTGACAGTTACTGATTTGCTACAGGCATGTGTTCAATGTGGGCTGGACTAAACTGGTGTAAAGAACTATTTAGACAGAATCATATTAGATATGCTGTTCCCTCCAAAGAACAACCAAGTGAACCAAAAAACACTGTTTTGAACTAACTTGGTGTTTGTGTTAAAGGGATCACTATTTGCCTTGTTTGACACTCTGAACACAATAAAACTGTGACAGAGCAACACCTTTCAGGGCAATGAAATGCTTCTTTTTACTGATGTCATTTGTGAACCTTCTTAAAATTCTTGCCAGTCAAGGCTGTTGATCAGATCTTGCCTGGATAATTCAAGAAAAAAAGTTGCAATGTAACCCACAAACATCACATATTTTCTTCCCTTGCGTTTCCAGGAGTCATTTCATTTGAGTTCTACATGTATCAATTCCCTTGCTCAGGATTTATTTTCTTTTTGGGAAATCAATTAAGTCCAGTTATAAGAAAAAAAAAAAAAGCTCTATAAAGAGGCTGCTACAAAATTGCAAAAATTCCAGTTCATCTCGGCAATATACACATACATGTACAAAATGCAATGTATTTACCGTTCCATAGGCAGAGAAGTAGTTTCTCAGATCATCCTCTGTGGTTCCATTTGCTATCCCACCAACAAAAATCTTCATAGCATTGTTGTCTCTCTGAAAATATAAAAAGTGAACTATATGTAGCTTTGAACTGTCTTGCAAGAACCAAGATAGGAAATGTTCCAAGAACAACATATAAAAACCTACAGTTTGCTGAGTTTGAATCGATCCTGCTTGACCTGGGCCACGAGGTACTGCCTGCTTTGGATCAATCTAACAATGAACATAGAACAAACAGTTCAATACTGAAAAATATTTACACCCTTTATACACATTTAAAAAACAGTCCCAAGAAAATAGCAAGCTGATTGGTTAAAAGTGGTGTTTCTATAACTCAATGGAAACACAGACCTAACACAAGCTGTTGACATAATGATGGTGGGTGCAAAGATAATCTACACTTTGATAACCAAAGTTAACAAGTTGTTTTCCTTTTTTTCATTGCAGTGTTTTCTAAAAGATAAAGAAAACATGTTCTCCATGTTTTTTTCGAGTTATAAATTTAAACACTCATGAAAGTTTGGGAGAACTCAAAAAAGCTGTGGAAACACACCTGCAGCTCATGTTCCCACAGCATTTCTCATTCTCCCAAACTTCCACTCGTGTTTCTATAATTCGATAGAAACACAGTTCATGTTTTCTATAATTTTTTAAGTAAATACATGCAGGTATTAACATGACAACATAAACTTACCGTTTTGTTATCCACCACATGGGGCCCATGATGGTTAATTACCTTCTGCACCGAGTTAGGATCTTGAAATGTCACAAATCCAAAACCCCTTCACAGATGAAAATATAATGACATGAAACTGTCTTGATTATACAAAGCAGCAAATATTTACATATATATATGTTGCAGGTTAAAATGAAATTCAGGTTAAAATGATTTTAACCTTGTTTGATTTTCAATTTCCTTTGTCTTCTAACCCTAATTATTTATGATCCATGAATAATTAGGGTTAAGAGACAAAGGAATTTCATTTTAACCTGAATTCCATTTTGACCTGCAACATAATATACTAGTCCAATAATTATAGTCCAATAATTGTTTGTTATTTTGATCAATCTTACACAAGCTCAATACTTAGTACATCACACATGTCCTATTAGACACTACTACTTATAACACGCCAGTGTTCCAGGTACGTGAGGGGTCTCAGGTCAAAAATCCGACAAGGTCAGCTACATGACCCAACAAATTAATAGAATTAAATTTATAATGGTTTGGGGGAAGCAGTGTGAATTGTCGCGTTGGAATTCTTTATTGACAGCCTGCATTGAAAAATTATCTGGAACCCTGCATGCATGACATAAACACAGAACAAAGGATATCCGAATACTGAGGCTCACTTGTAATAATTTATTCCATCGTTTTATAACAACAATATGCAGGGATTGGGAAGGTAAAACAGGCAATGATCCTACGGCCCATGGCATTGGAAAGTTATGGGTCATTTATAAAATGTTTGGTCCATTAGGTAAATAAATGGGCCATAAAAAAAAATTAATTGCTTCATCCTCTTCAATACCAGTCAATGCTTTGGAAAGGACATTATCAAAAGCTAATGTGATCTGGAAGATCCTCATGTCTTGTCATGCTGCTTGTTTTAAATGTTTTACAACCGGCAGTCATAGTGTTCTTCTTGCCATGTTTTAAGCAGACTGTACAGCGCATAGCATCCCCTCGTAAATAAGCCAAGGCCACAAAGTTAGCCACTTTTTTGAAATTTTTGTTCCTCAGAACTAGAAGGCTTGGAAGCTTCGTCTTCATTGTTGCTTTCAGGTTCACGATTTGTTATTGCGGACTCGACATTGGTAGTGCAAAATGGCAACAATCTCCAAGTCTTGTCCACTTTCGGAACTTTTGCTTTTGGAGGCATATTGTTTGGCTAATTACAGCGTGCAAAACATATTCAAAGCAGCCAATTCTATCATTGAAAACAGAAAGTTTATAGATTGAGCAAGGACCTTATTTGGCAGCAGAGTCCAAGTAAGGGGTCCAGAGATGAAAACAAAGCGAACGCTTTTATGACGTCAATTAAAAAGCAAGGCATCATGATTTCTGGCCTGTTGATTCGTCATTACACTGAAAATTTCACAAATGAAACTCCTTTCCACAAAATAGTACATATTTTATTAGCTGTTTCGCAGCTAGGGCACATTGCAGGCCTGGTAAGTGTTTTCATAATGCACCATTTCATAGCTTTATGTGCCATATGCCCATGGTGCAAGGCCTTCCTCATCCCTAAATATGTCAGCTACATGTAGCATGATTCCTTACCTTGGTTTTTTGGTGGCTGGATCTTTCATCACAACAACATCTGTTACTTCTCCAAATTTTACGAAATAATTCTTTAAAGACTCTGTGCAAAAATGGTAAACATTTTTATTCACGTGTAAAAAGAAATAATGCTATCTAATGAGCCTGCCAGAATTGCAGAAATAAGGGAAAGACTTCAATCAGTCTTTGGCATATTAAAGCTAGAGCTATACCTACACCCGCTACTGGAGCTGAACTGGCCAAGAAAATGCGATCTAATAGGAGATAAATAAAGAAGACAATCCCCCGGTCCAAGTTTTATGGTCTGTGCGATATCCCAAACTTCAGCAGACTTCAGCAGATATTTATTGAAATGTTTTCACACAAATTTTTGTATGACAGCCCAGTGTGGAGTTGGAGTTCAGAAGCGACATTAATAGCATACCTTGAGTCGTTTCGTGTGATAATCCACCAACGAAGATTTTCCTTCCAGGTTGAAAGGAGAGAAAACAAAGTTAAGCTCGTGGCCACGTGTCCCAAAATATATTGAACACGAACACGTAAAACTACATGAATAAACTTTCAGTCGTAGTAATTTCTGTAATAAAATGTATTCCTTAGAAAACTGACCATACCCAATATCATCTCCTAAGGTACCTCCTTTGACCATTTTGTCGTTTAAATGCGAAGTATTTACTCTAAACCTTCCCGTTGTCCTTCGAGTAATGGCGTCTTCTCCATATGGCGGATCACAGAGTATCCCGGATGTACTGACAACAGTTGCCCTCGCAAGACCTCCTGGGATATCCTCCTACCGGTCGTCCGCTTTTGAGACTCTCTGTCATGGCTTCGTTTTCTTCGCATTTTTTTTTTTTCCAAATCTTCGAATATTTTTAAGCAGATCGTTTTATAGACTGAAACAAGGGATTATTAAGGTACTTTCCTTGATAATCTCTTGATTATAATCATAGCCTGGCAGTTTATTTAGACGTGAGTGTATTTCACAGCCGCATTTCTCAGCATATATAACTGAACACGTTCGTGAAAAGCAAAACAACCGACTGTTCAAACAACACCAAGGCAAATTGGTTCTTAATATTAATATAGTTATTGGTCAATATTCCATCTTATAACGCAAATTTTAACTCTTCGCTTTAATCTTGAGATCTTCGTTTTTTCGGCGGTAATTGTTGCGTCTTCGATTTCTTCAGAAATACCCACTGTGGGGCTCGCTTTTGACTCCAAGCCAAGTCTGGTTCCAGTGTCAACAGGTTTCTTTTGACAAAATTATTTTTCTTCTTCCCAACACCAAAGTGACAAACTTCGACACACACACTACTATATGTGCCAACAGATTTCTCAGGACAAAACAGCTCAGGAATTGAGAACAATTGGGCAGCCTGAGCAATAGTGATAGAAACAAAAACGCGGGTTACCCTATATATAAGACCTAACTCTTCCTCTTTTTTTCCTTGGAAAGCTTTGTGTTGTGTCCTAAGTGGCCACTTCTCGACTCTTCCAGCCGTTCGGTTAGTTGGGGTGCAGCGCGAAACAACGGAGCACGAAAAAAATGAGAAAAGCGCGGCCCGGGAAGAAAGTATAAACATAAGTGAATAAAAATGGTTTATTTTAAGCTCGGTAATGAAATGTGAAAAGTGGACTGATCAACATGACACGAGCGTGGGACAAAGAAAAATTCTGAGTCCCCGACAGGAATCGAATCCATGACCTCCCGAACGCCGCGCGGGCGCTCTATCCACTGAGCTACGAGAACTCATGTAGAGCTAGGTAGAAAAACAGTTATTCGCTTATTTTTATTGCAATAATATCTTTGGGACACAGCGGAAGTTCAAAGAAGAATCAAGGTTGAACTTCAGTCTTTTTCTTCCCCATTATTCATTTTTGTCATGAATGTGTCGGAAGGTAATGGCATTTGTTCGCCTTACTATAACCCTAAGATGGGACATTTGAACAGTTTTTTTCCCAGGAGATGGGATTTGATCAACTTAAAATTCAAGATGTCTTAGGGCGGGCCGAAGTAAATCTGGCACAAATTGTTGTAAACTTTTCCAGGTTGCTGCTACAATTCATCCGGGTTTCCTTCGTTCTGCTCCCAAGTAACTTGCCCCTGGGTCTCCGCGCATAACGTGTAACTGAGACTTAATTAAGTATCAATGTCTTTAACAGTGCTGTCCTTCTTGAGGACATAGTAAATAAAACGAAATATACATTGAAAATAGAATCAGAAGCATGTTGGATGGGACGCCATCTTTCGCGCAACCAAGGCTACGACGAAACCGCCGGCTACGCAAACTATTGAACTCGAGTTCTAACTTGGAACTAGAAAGATTCAAAGAGCTGATAAAAAGGATCGGTTTGGCGTTCCCTAAGTGTAGCCATGTTCAACCTTTGTTCGCAACCATTGGAATACTTCACAGAACAACAAGCATGACAAGTGAAAACACAGTTTCATTATTTCTTTAATCTTCAGCAGCAAGAAATTCAAATGTAATGCCCCGGATTGCTTCATTGGAAAAAAATCTTTCACAATTTTCAATAACAATCTCTTTGATTTCACACTTTAAAAATGTCACGTGAAATTAAAACACATAAAAAAAATTAAAACTGAAAAGGCCAAGGTCCCTTCCACAGCAGACATACTGGCAAAAATAGCATAGTTAACGTTACATTTCTCCTCTCTCATGTTTTCTATTACTTATCCTAAATACTTAAAATAATTTATTAGCCTATCCACATTATGCCACTTAATAGTTAGAGTGCGATTACTCGAACCGGGCCACCTGGATTAAAACTAACCAATCACAACGTACATTGACAACAATGGACTGGTAGCTTCTCGCGACGGCAAGTAATAAGGGTCTGTTTGATATGACTACGTAAATGCTATCGACTCCTCCGTGTTATATTCACTCTTAGAGACTTAGTCCTTGACGGTGAATTATCATAATTGTACATCTCACTCGAAAGATTTAGCTTGAAAACTCATTTTGCGACAACTAAACCGAAACCGTTGAAAAGCGTACAAAATTTTGGATCGAAACTAACCAATCAACAAATGGAAAAGTTTCCTGAGAGGTTCGCAACAATTCGCACTTTGCTGGGTTTTTAATTTGTTAAGATCTGTTGTTCGTATTCTAAAATGCTATTGGTTGAATTGACAAAAAGATCGCTATCCTTTGTTCGGTTCACTGACTTAACTCTTTTCCAAGTTCGAGTAGTCGCACTGTAAGTATCACAATTTGCTCGTTATCGATCGCTAGATCTTCTTTGAGTGAAACCAACGTAGCTGGACGTTCAACTGGTTTATCTGAAGACCTAACGGTATGTGAAAAATTGCTTCGTGTTCTTGGCAACCCTGAGGACCCTGAAGCCTATTAAAAATACTAATAACATTAAAACAACAGCAGTCTTCTGGCTGTTGAAAACTGATAGCAAATTGGACGACAAACAGAAAAGGAGTAACATTATTTCGAGCAATTGGCTCTATATTTGTGAATCATAAGTAAAATGTATAAGGTCAATTCATCATGAACCAAAATTTGGTTTAATGCCTTTTTTCGCGAGAAGCGCGATTTAGGGTATATTTTGTGATTATATGACGGTTAAAGATCATATCTGGAGAGCTTAAGTCATTTTGCCTCAACAAACATGTCGGATCGTCATAAATATCAGTTGTTTCTCTTTTCTCTGTTCCAGATACAAGCTTCCTAATTGTTCGCAAAATTTATGCCTCTCGGGAAAAAAAAAGGCATACACATTAGCTCTGTAAATAAATACATTAAAAATATACTATTATAACCTTTTTTCGGGGGCCAATTTTAAGTTACCGAGGGCGGCCTACCTTCAGTGTAGGCTCAAAGGTTTATATGGCATTATGTAAGCTACTAGTTTGCTGAACTTAAATACTTTAAAAATGCATCGTGGATGGTCCACAGCTCAGGTAAAACGACGCGCGCGTTCAGACGTAGAGTAAAAAGAGGGTGCACTGGTTTAAACCCGGTTTTAAAACCGACCAGGGGCCCGTTTCTCGAAGGTCCCGAAAAGCCGTTGCAAAATTTCAAACCTTATGACTTCAGAGCTGTTTTATTCACATATTCTTAATATAAACAGAGGTTCTCTTCATATAAGGAGTTTCAGGCGTATACACCTCTCTGTCTTTAAATACCGATTAACTAAAAATGGCTTTGCGGGCCCGAAAAGTTTCCGGGGCTTTCGAGAAACGGGCCCCTGGCCACCTTGAACGCGGTCTAAAGGTATTTGAATGCTGCTTTACTAGATAAGTCCTTATTTTATCACGAACGATGGTCTGTTGTACAAATGAAAATGGTTTCAAGTCAAGACATCAAGTGAGTATATTTTTATTTATATAAATAGTGTGGTTTTCACTCGAGTATCAAAAGTACAGTAATTCACATTTGCTGTGTTTTGCGTATTACTACGCTACACGATTGGCTTAAAAAAAGCTCACGTCATATTTTCATCCAATCAGAAGTTAAAAAAACCAATCGTGACTCACTAGCACACCTTTTCCCGCGCTTCGCGTCGGCTACAATTGTATTTACTTCGAGCTTTGATTGGTTCATTGGATTGTCTGTATTCTTTCTGATTGGCTCAAGTGATTTCTTTGGTTTCGGTTTTACGACACTCAATAGAAAACCACTCTACTCCGTTACTGTAACTTTTGATTTCACCTGAGTAACTGTCCTATGTAAAAAAATCACCAAAACAACCAGAAAATATTCATACCCCACCCACAGAGGGTCTTTTTGGTTAGAACCCCCACCCACCCACCCCCCTAAAATCCCTCTGAAAATTCCAGTTTTGGGTCATACTTCCTTTACAAATATTGGCTTTGAGACCCTTCCCCCCACCCCTCCCCCCCCCTAAAATTTCCAATAACCCTCCTTGGAGTGGGTATGGATAGTTTATGGAACCACACATTTCAAAAACAAGAATCACAGGTTTAACAAGCCCTCTGCTTAAAATCTGAATTAAAAATCTAAATTAGATATTTATATTGATCACAAAAGCTTGAAACCCATTGAATTCATTATATCTGGGTTGTATCATAATCTGTTATTTCACTTGAAGACAGAATAGCAGATGAAACCAAATTACCAAATTTTTAAAAGTACCTAAACTCCCACGTAAATAAAATTATTGCAAACTGGAACATTGGATAATGAAATTCAAGGCTTTCCATTGGCTTTGCCATCATAGCATATGAGAAACTATGCCATGCTCTACAAATAATTTATGGTAAGCAGGCATATAATTTTGCAAACCTCCCCCCCCCCCCCCCCCCCCNAAAGTGCCTTGATAATCTATTAATTTTACTAGCTTTGGATTTAGAATTTTTAATAGGGATGCGGCGGTTTACCTGTATCTCTCTCTCTCTCTCTCTCTCTCTCTCTCTCTCTCTCTTGGGGGAGGGGGGATGTTTTTATATTTTAGTTTCCTTTATTTTGAGGGCATTATTCTACTCTGGCTTGTTTGGTATGAGACATTATAGTCAACTCAGTGCTGCATGCCTTGTTGGCTAACTATTATCTCATATCCAGTGTGCGCCCGTGAAATAATAGTTTTAAACACGACTGGATTGGGAGTGAATTAGTAAAATAAATGCTGCTTTAAACATTGGAAGACCATATTTATAATAAAATTACAACAAAATCAATTATATTATAAATTTAAAACTAATAATGTGCAGTTCCAGAAAATATCCATACCCACCCCAAGGAAGGTTAATGGAAATTCCAAGGGGGAGGGGCATTTCAAAAGCCCATTTTTTTAAAGGAAAGTATGACACTAGAATGGAATTTCCCGAGGGGTGGGGGGGTGGGGGGTTCAAGCTATGAAAGCTTCCATGGGAGGGGTATGGATATTTTCTGGAACAACACAAAATAACTTGATATTATTATTGATATCTGCGTGGGACAAACTTTTCTTGCCATCTGTGAACTAAATAATAGTAATGATAATAATAACACAGTCAAACCTGCCATAAGCGATCACCAAAAATGTCAAGTCTGGTGGCTTATGAGGGCTTAGACCATATTGGGTCAAAATTTTGCTTCATTAGTATATGGTAACTGCAGAGACTTACCCCATGTTTTAAGTGTTTTATTCATGTGAAAGGTCATTTTCGAGAAAATCCGGTGCTTTCCATTGAAACAATTTTCGTCTCTTGTACTACCTTGGAATGCGGCAATGCTACAACACCTTATTATCCAATTTACACTCTATCATCTGTCAAGTGGTTGTTTACAGGAGGTTAAAAACAAAAGAAAATTTCAAACTTTTAGCTCTTGAAGTGGTCACGGTCGCTTATGAGAGGTGGTCGCTTAAGAGAGGTGGTTACACCCGGAGGTTCAACTGTAATAATAATAATAATAATAATAATAATAATAATATTAATAATAATATTAATAATAATATTGATAATAATAATAATAGTGTTGATAATAAATAGTCATAATAATAATAACAATAATGTAAACATATTTGACCAGGGTAAACCCATTAGAAAATGTTGTTAACATGGGGTGTCCTGGACAACTAAAAGTAGAATTAAAATAACAATAAAAGTCCTAAAAGTCAATAAAACAATGAAAGTCCTAAAAAGATTTTAAAGTTTTAAACATCTAAAAGACTGGCAAGCAAGGCTTAATATATAAACACCACAGAGGTGATAAAAACTCAATAGGGTACTCTGGTGGTTAACTCTTTAAATCCCAGGAGGGACCTGCAGCGTCAAAATGCAATTTCTCATCACAATACCAATACATTCTCAAGCAAACAGGAAATGAGAATAAAGAAAATTGAAAAACTAAATGTGCATGTACCACCACATTCTCAGAACTGTCATGACAAGAACTTTCAGTATTAAGAATGGACATCAATTGGATTCTTAACAAACATTTTGAAACTACATTGTACTTTGATTTGACTTCGCGATATCACCAAAGTAAAATATCGCAATTCTGAGAAATTCTGCTTGTCAAAGCCAAGAAAGTTTACTAAACTTGGAAAAAAACCTAATTTGCATTCACTTTCGACACACTAATCCACATATGCGATTTACAAAACTAGTTTCGTCTAAGACGTCTTCAGTTGATCATTATGCAATATTTGAATATAAATATAAATATTTGAATATAAATATATTATATTCAAATATTGCATAGCAATCAACTGAAGAGGTCTTAGACGAAACTAGTTTTGTAAATCGCATACATGGATTAGTGTGTCGAAAGTGAATGCAAATTAGGTTTTTTCCGAATTAAGAAAATATCGCAAACAACCCATCAATTGACCAATCTGCCACTTCCTTCCTTTCAATTGCTCAGGTGAGTGTATGATGAAAGACTTCTTATATATACAATATTTTCAATGTAAAGAAACATACCCAATTTGCCCAGGCTGCTTTGCCCTCTTCAGATACAAAACCCTTCAATCTCCCAATAAATAAATTATTTTGCCTGTTGTGTTTGTTATAAGACTATAAAAAAACATTAGTCTTGAGGAAATAATAATTTTAAAAAAACTCACATCAATTGACTGCAACAATTTTAAACATTATCCCACAGAAATGTCTCCACCATATAAAGCAAGAATAAACATTATTGTAAGACCAAACAGCATGCCAAAGTTTTGCAGAGCAAAGGTCTTGAGATTCTTGCGAACAGAGTTTTGACCAATCTTTACAGACATCTCAGAAGCTTCTTCCAGCTGTAAAGATAAAATGATAAAACTGTTCAACATCGAGTTAAATTGTGACAAAAAATTTGCAGTTTTTACACTTCAGGAACACAGTCTGCAGGGGCATAGCCAGGATTTTTCAAAGGGGGCTCACCAGATTGCCATGGCTTATTTGCCACCTGTTGTGGGTTGTTTGCTAAAAGGGTTACAAAAGGGGGGGTCACAGGCACCCCAGGACCCCCCTCTGGCTACGCCCTTGATCTGTCTTGACAAACAGTCTTGGGAAGGTGTTTTTAGTGTGCCTTTTTATGTGTCTTACATAAAGACCGGCACAAGATGACCTATCTGCTTTACTAGTGTGTCTTGAACGACTAACTAAACGTAATCAAGAGACAACTTGGCTGAGGCAGATAATCTGTTTGCATGTATAAAGAGGGGCATTAGCGGAATAATTATCATGCATGTGGATGTTATGCATGTCAGAAAATGTTACGCAGAAGACAGATAATTCATAACAAGAAAAGCTATCATTCTGCTTTTGAACACCTTGAATACTGAACTGAGGGCTTATAGCATCTGATCTAAAGTGCATCTCCTCTTTGCACTAGATCCATAAAATAGCAGACCCATAATTGCCGAGGACAGATTATGCATCTCTAGTATAAGGAGGGTACTGATTGAGGAAAATTAAAACCTCGCATGCACGCACAGCTTACCATGTCAACTAAAGCAATGTAGATAAACATCCCTCCAGCCAGAGCATAGATCCACTTGACTGCTGATGTCGCATAGCCAAGCAACAGGCCAATCACAAGTCCCAAATAACAAGAACAGGCTGAGAGGAAATTGAATCCCATTGCCATTTTGTAAGACATGCCAGCATTAAGGAGAACAGCAAAGTCACCTGCCAGGAAAATCCAAAGATTCATAAGAATTGACAGAAGTAAAAACAAAAAGCAGCAATCCGGAAGTTGTATGATGTTCAAAGTTAAGCATAAAATGAAAGTTGCCTTTCAAAACATTAAAATATTACGAACTTTAAGTAACTCAAGATTCAAATTATTGTTTGGCTACATTATATATACCTATAACTAAATTTGTAGCACCTTCAATGCTGGGTATTTGCTGTACAGTGTATACAATGTACACCTGTGTCCTGTATTTAAATCTCCCTGAGGGCCTACAGTATTTTTGTCAAGCACACTTAACTTAAGCAGGGTTAATAGAGGGGGAAGTTGTAATTGTGGGAAAAGGGGGTCTGTTTAATGTACAGCCCAACACTAACATGATAATAGTATGCTACTACTAAAGGGAGGTGCAGTGGCCACATGATTAGTGTGCTCGACTCCAGAATCAACTGGTCTGGGTTTATAACATTGCTGGGGACATTGTGCTGTATTTTTTGATCCAGAGTCAAGTGCACTTACCATGACTCATGAGGCCACTGTGCCTCCCAATACTTACATGTATGTAACTGTAATCTAACTATTGTTACCTAGTTCGTGAGGAAGCTCTTCACAGAATATTGCCAGTGCTGTACTGACACCAACAAATGTTGACCCAGAAAAAGATGCTCCGATGGCTAAGCCATCAATAAAATTATGAAGGCCATCACCAATTATTATCATCCATGCAACAGGGGCCACTTTGTTCTTTTCCAGAGATAATGTACCATTTTCCTCAACAACCTGTGTTAACAGTATTTTATTGGCAACATTAGCAAACCACTTACAGTAGTATGAAATAAAATGGTGCCTAATGTTATTATGTCAGACGAGTATTAATTACCACGGCTAATATAGAGTATTTTCACATGACTTAATGGCAGTAAGCGTCCCAAAAGCATTGTATATGTAACATATCAAACACGAAAGACTGTGTTTGACCACATTTCGAAACACCAGGAAGAGAGTTGAAAATATGACAGAGTACATGTATTTGTGCAGAGGAACTTTGAGGTGTTTGGAAATGTGATCAAACACTCTCTTGAATGTTTGATATATCTTCTCAATCGAAACTAAAACTAAGGAGAAATAAAATCATCAAAATCTATGCTAATTAAGATCAGATATCCAAACACCGTCACGGTCATGATTTTCTTTCAAACTCAATAAATTACATAAGATTGTATTAATTATGTACTGTTATATTAAATGCTCAGCACAGCAAGGCAAAGTGTATGTATACACATGAATACCTTCTTGGAATCATCTGAACTGCTGTTATGTTTCACTCCATTTCCAGTAAAATGGATCTCTGGTAAATCATGACCCATGCACATGTTACTGAGAGCGTGGTGATTGTCTTGGTTGACCTTGTAAAGTTGAAGCTGAACATCGGCTATGCCGGCACCAGGAATTTCACTTTTTGGCTTGGCATTTTCCTTGAAAAGCAATTAAAATATCTTAACCAAGTCAATAAGGATCTACAATAAAATAATTAATATATGCAGATGTTCATGAATGTATTGTTACATGTATGGTTCAACAATCACTAACAAACACTAGTTATCAAAATATCTTGCTCAGACAAGAAGCTTGAAATAACATGATGTTGAGTATTTATTACTTTCAGCTTAGTTCAGAAAATTTTATTTCTTAGTAGGTTTTATTACAGAGGGGGACATGGGGTTTTGCCGTGTTGTAGTGTTGGTTGTTTTTCTAATGCGGTGATGCGGTGAATAAAGTCTCACCTTGCAGTGTTGTGGTGATCTCCAACCCTACAGTGTGCGATGTTTGTGTTTTTCACACTACTGTGTTTGATGAAATGAATTGATTTGGGAATGCAGTGTTTTCTTGTTTGACCTTTCTCAGGCCTAAATGTTGCATGTAAACTTTGCCAATGCATGCGATTTACAGTTGTATAGCAAGCAAGTACCATTGTGATTAAGAATCCAATACGAAGCTGTTTTTGTCCAGCCATCAGCAGTATCATCACATAGGCAATGACAAACAAAATTTTGTGATGTGTTTATTTTGTGGAAAATTGTTGAAGTATAAAAGTATTATGTCAAGTGTAGATGTTCGTATCATGGTGCTAAAGAAATTTTTTGCAGTGTTGCAGTGTTCAGAGCCCCCCATGTCCCCCTCATTACAATGTACATGTAGTTTAGTTTGATATACAATAAACAAAGTCATGTATTTATCAACAAGAAGCTTAACATTTCTAAAGCTTAAATTATAGCTTGGTGGATAAACTTAACAACAGTCTTTTATCATCAACAGAAATATATACATGTGTACATGTAGTAATTGATAAGTAAAATAAAGATTGCAATTATATTTTTGGGGCTTAAAGGGTTGCTTCATTCATAAAATGGGTGACTCCAGAAAATATCCATACCCAATCATATACAGCTTCCATATTCCCCCCCCCCCTTGCCTTCAGAAATTCCAAAATGCTCCACTCTCCCCATGCCTGAAATCTGAAATCAGTAACCCCCCCCCCCTGTCATTCCTTCTAGATTTCCATTTTTATTTCCATAAACTCTATGCAATACAACTACATTTCCTTGTTTGGCTCCCTAAGACTTACAATGAAAGTGATTTTATGCTTTTACCTCTTCCTGTCTAAGTTTTTGCTAAATGTATGGTATTGGATTTGACCAATAGTGGTATAATTTATGAAGTGGTTAATCATTAACTCGCTCATGGACATTAATGCTTGATCATATGATAGCTCATCAGTTCTATTCAGACAACGTTCTAGCTTAGTTATTTATATAAATATATAATATATAATATAAAATATATAATAAAACAAGGTCTCGAAAATGCAACTGATAAGATTGCACGCATTTGTGAGCAAATGTTTGACAACTAAAACTTCCTCCTTTTCAGTCCCAGTACTGCACCTGGTTTCCCACTGAACTAGCAGAGAAATATAAATTCCAATTGTTTCGGGCAAAAGTGTTAACTACTTGGGAAATTGAACATGCATGAGAAAATCCTGCCTAATTTACATTTGACATGACACTCAATCAGACGCCATTACTGACAGCTTTTTTTTTTTAATATTTATCACTGGTGCATATTTTGCATTGGTTTGCAAACAAACATGGCAGGCCTGACAGACACGTGTTCTTGTAAACTACTAATCTGACAAGGAGGTTCAAGATGGTCCATTTAAGCTGCCTCTTTTTGCTACACTGTACATACATCCATCCATCCCAACTGTATAAAGCACCTCCCATGCACCCTACACACACTTCTTCACCTTTTAAATACTGTAAGATTTGCCAAGTGTTACAATTACATGTATTTTAACCATGTGTCCACAATAACTGTTAACTTACATGTACTAGCTGTTTTTCGCTATCATCACACGAAGACTTCTGTTTGAATCTGACAATCATTTTCATGGCATATTCCAGGAAAAAGAACAAATAAATCCCACTGACGATGACCAGACATTTCCATAAATATGACATATCACCATCAAGACCAAAACCAAAGCTCTGAAAGAATATGTGAAAACAACACTCAAAGTAGATTACTAAAAATAAGGTGAACTACTTTCTAGACAAATGTCGCACTTTCTCTTTCAGATCAAACGGTATTAACCTACATGCATGAACTCACTGACTGAGTGATTGGACCACACACTTTGGTTTTAGCTTTACAAGACCCAATTGAAAACCAACCTGTATAAATGGTGCTGTACACTGGTAATCACCTAATGTTAAGCAACTGATTAAGATTGTCATACATGTACATGTGAGATTTAAAATTCTCTAGCAAATTGGGTAAAATTGCAACAGAAATTTTCAGTTGCATCATTCTAATAATAATAAGACTTTAAGACTTAAAATTAATTGAGATTTTTGGAAAATACTTACGTGGGGAATAAGGTGGAAAACTCCACTCCCACTTAGCACACCAACAGCAAGGGACACCATAAACAGCAGGAGAATCTTGTAAAATGATTGGTTCATGAATGGGACAACAAAGGCTCCGAGTAGAGATGCACAGCTGATGATGGTTACTGACAAGAACCCGAATCCCCATGCTGAAAAAGAAAATTAATAAATTATAGTCCAACCTCTTCACAATGGCAAGTGGTCATTGTAGAGAGGTGGTTGTTACCCACAAGACACCAGCCTAAATCCAAATTACGATTGCCAATGTTCTGTGAAGTGTGATGGCTTACATGTATGCATCTAGCTTTACCTCTGGTCAAACCCCTAAAATAGTCAACTGTGAAAAAGTTGGGGTTGATTCAACCATAAGAATTCAACAAAAGTCCCAAACTCCTTCTTTAGACACATGCAACAAGAATACAGTTTCTTCCTTAATATCCAGGAAATTCGACTACCACTCTAGGAGACTAGTGAATATTGTCTGTATCTGAGAGATGCCTAGATGATCAGGAAGTGATGGTGAATCTGGACAGGATACCAACCTTGAGATTTACTTTGTGTTGTATCTTCTTCCTCCTCTACTTCCTTTTCCACCAAACATGCTTTACTCTCAATTTGCTCCACAAGTGCTGGGCATATTTTTTCAAATTTCTCTGGATTCAGCCCATTAGAATCAACAGAAAAGGATTCAAACAGTACTTTGGCTGGGTAACACTGAAACAAAATAATAGAAACCAAAATATAAACTAACTGTAAATATAACTTATAAATCTATTAGTGTTCAGACATATGTTCAACATGATTTATCCAGGTGATCATGGTGAGGTTAACTACATGTACCCTTTTGAACAACTGGGTCCAGCAAGGAAATGAGTCACTTGTGCACATGCAAGCTTAGCCGGTGTAGCAAGCATTCCTGTTCAAAAAAAATCAATGAAGCACAGGGTGGTGGCGTGAGGGAGGGAACATTTTGCCTGCAAACCCCTGTCTATTATATACATACTTGTGTGGAGGGCAATAATAACTAAATGTTCAGCTTAAGACCAGCTTTTCCGGTGGTTAAACTTTAACCGTTCATTAGCTGGACAGTCATTTTATTCTCTTGCTGCTACAAAAATATCAACCGTTGAATTATAGAACCGACTGGAAATCAGAAGCCTTTGTTGTAAAATTGTCAGTGTGAGTTAATTCGCTTTTGCAGAGAAAACAACAACCAGTCGCTGGGTTCTAAAATTCGGACTCACGTTATCTAGACAAGAAAAAGAACTCAGTAATGCTAAGCGGGGTTGCCAAGTAAGACTATCAAAGATTGGCTCTCCTTCCCGGGTTCCTGTTTGATCTATTGCTTTAAAACAGCAGCTGAAAGATTTTAAAAGCCTTTGTCGAATCCAGCAGGTAATACAGCCACAAACTCTTTACTCTCTAAAAGATGGTATCTTTTGAATAAAATTAAATACCATTCACCTCAAGTCTAACAAATCTTTGCTGGGGCTAGTCCAATTTCACAAAACTTCCCCCACAGAATTGTGCAAGTCACATTTGAGTTATTCCTGAAATCATTCAAGTAAATTTGATACACTTGTCAATCAAGATGGCCACACCGCACCAATCAGGAGCCCCATTCATAGGCGAACAGGTTTTTCAAAATCGAGGGGGTTTATATTTGTCTTCCCTCACAATGAAGACACTAATTTTTTCAACTGAGTTTTAATCCACTGAAATTTGACTACCATTGTAACAAAAATACAAATAAATCAATTGTAATTCCAAACAAAAAGAATCACTACTTCAAAACATTACTTGCAGAGTCTGCTAAAGGGCGGATTTAGACCTGGCCTTAAGGATTTTTTTTTTTTTTTTTTTTTTTTTNTTCAATGCTGGGTATTTGCTGTACAGTGTATACAATGTACACCTGTGTCCTGTATTTAAATCTCCCTGAGGGCCTACAGTATTTTTGTCAAGCACACTTAACTTAAGCAGGGTTAATAGAGGGGGAAGTTGTAATTGTGGGAAAAGGGGGTCTGTTTAATGTACAGCCCAACACTAACATGATAATAGTATGCTACTACTAAAGGGAGGTGCAGTGGCCACATGATTAGTGTGCTCGACTCCAGAATCAACTGGTCTGGGTTTATAACATTGCTGGGGACATTGTGCTGTATTTTTTGATCCAGAGTCAAGTGCACTTACCATGACTCATGAGGCCACTGTGCCTCCCAATACTTACATGTATGTAACTGTAATCTAACTATTGTTACCTAGTTCGTGAGGAAGCTCTTCACAGAATATTGCCAGTGCTGTACTGACACCAACAAATGTTGACCCAGAAAAAGATGCTCCGATGGCTAAGCCATCAATAAAATTATGAAGGCCATCACCAATTATTATCATCCATGCAACAGGGGCCACTTTGTTCTTTTCCAGAGATAATGTACCATTTTCCTCAACAACCTGTGTTAACAGTATTTTATTGGCAACATTAGCAAACCACTTACAGTAGTATGAAATAAAATGGTGCCTAATGTTATTATGTCAGACGAGTATTAATTACCACGGCTAATATAGAGTATTTTCACATGACTTAATGGCAGTAAGCGTCCCAAAAGCATTGTATATGTAACATATCAAACACGAAAGACTGTGTTTGACCACATTTCGAAACACCAGGAAGAGAGTTGAAAATATGACAGAGTACATGTATTTGTGCAGAGGAACTTTGAGGTGTTTGGAAATGTGATCAAACACTCTCTTGAATGTTTGATATATCTTCTCAATCGAAACTAAAACTAAGGAGAAATAAAATCATCAAAATCTATGCTAATTAAGATCAGATATCCAAACACCGTCACGGTCATGATTTTCTTTCAAACTCAATAAATTACATAAGATTGTATTAATTATGTACTGTTATATTAAATGCTCAGCACAGCAAGGCAAAGTGTATGTATACACATGAATACCTTCTTGGAATCATCTGAACTGCTGTTATGTTTCACTCCATTTCCAGTAAAATGGATCTCTGGTAAATCATGACCCATGCACATGTTACTGAGAGCGTGGTGATTGTCTTGGTTGACCTTGTAAAGTTGAAGCTGAACATCGGCTATGCCGGCACCAGGAATTTCACTTTTTGGCTTGGCATTTTCCTTGAAAAGCAATTAAAATATCTTAACCAAGTCAATAAGGATCTACAATAAAATAATTAATATATGCAGATGTTCATGAATGTATTGTTACATGTATGGTTCAACAATCACTAACAAACACTAGTTATCAAAATATCTTGCTCAGACAAGAAGCTTGAAATAACATGATGTTGAGTATTTATTACTTTCAGCTTAGTTCAGAAAATTTTATTTCTTAGTAGGTTTTATTACAGAGGGGGACATGGGGTTTTGCCGTGTTGTAGTGTTGGTTGTTTTTCTAATGCGGTGATGCGGTGAATAAAGTCTCACCTTGCAGTGTTGTGGTGATCTCCAACCCTACAGTGTGCGATGTTTGTGTTTTTCACACTACTGTGTTTGATGAAATGAATTGATTTGGGAATGCAGTGTTTTCTTGTTTGACCTTTCTCAGGCCTAAATGTTGCATGTAAACTTTGCCAATGCATGCGATTTACAGTTGTATAGCAAGCAAGTACCATTGTGATTAAGAATCCAATACGAAGCTGTTTTTGTCCAGCCATCAGCAGTATCATCACATAGGCAATGACAAACAAAATTTTGTGATGTGTTTATTTTGTGGAAAATTGTTGAAGTATAAAAGTATTATGTCAAGTGTAGATGTTCGTATCATGGTGCTAAAGAAATTTTTTGCAGTGTTGCAGTGTTCAGAGCCCCCCATGTCCCCCTCATTACAATGTACATGTAGTTTAGTTTGATATACAATAAACAAAGTCATGTATTTATCAACAAGAAGCTTAACATTTCTAAAGCTTAAATTATAGCTTGGTGGATAAACTTAACAACAGTCTTTTATCATCAACAGAAATATATACATGTGTACATGTAGTAATTGATAAGTAAAATAAAGATTGCAATTATATTTTTGGGGCTTAAAGGGTTGCTTCATTCATAAAATGGGTGACTCCAGAAAATATCCATACCCAATCATATACAGCTTCCATATTCCCCCCCCCCCTTGCCTTCAGAAATTCCAAAATGCTCCACTCTCCCCATGCCTGAAATCTGAAATCAGTAACCCCCCCCCCCTGTCATTCCTTCTAGATTTCCATTTTTATTTCCATAAACTCTATGCAATACAACTACATTTCCTTGTTTGGCTCCCTAAGACTTACAATGAAAGTGATTTTATGCTTTTACCTCTTCCTGTCTAAGTTTTTGCTAAATGTATGGTATTGGATTTGACCAATAGTGGTATAATTTATGAAGTGGTTAATCATTAACTCGCTCATGGACATTAATGCTTGATCATATGATAGCTCATCAGTTCTATTCAGACAACGTTCTAGCTTAGTTATTTATATAAATATATAATATATAATATAAAATATATAATAAAACAAGGTCTCGAAAATGCAACTGATAAGATTGCACGCATTTGTGAGCAAATGTTTGACAACTAAAACTTCCTCCTTTTCAGTCCCAGTACTGCACCTGGTTTCCCACTGAACTAGCAGAGAAATATAAATTCCAATTGTTTCGGGCAAAAGTGTTAACTACTTGGGAAATTGAACATGCATGAGAAAATCCTGCCTAATTTACATTTGACATGACACTCAATCAGACGCCATTACTGACAGCTTTTTTTTTTTAATATTTATCACTGGTGCATATTTTGCATTGGTTTGCAAACAAACATGGCAGGCCTGACAGACACGTGTTCTTGTAAACTACTAATCTGACAAGGAGGTTCAAGATGGTCCATTTAAGCTGCCTCTTTTTGCTACACTGTACATACATCCATCCATCCCAACTGTATAAAGCACCTCCCATGCACCCTACACACACTTCTTCACCTTTTAAATACTGTAAGATTTGCCAAGTGTTACAATTACATGTATTTTAACCATGTGTCCACAATAACTGTTAACTTACATGTACTAGCTGTTTTTCGCTATCATCACACGAAGACTTCTGTTTGAATCTGACAATCATTTTCATGGCATATTCCAGGAAAAAGAACAAATAAATCCCACTGACGATGACCAGACATTTCCATAAATATGACATATCACCATCAAGACCAAAACCAAAGCTCTGAAAGAATATGTGAAAACAACACTCAAAGTAGATTACTAAAAATAAGGTGAACTACTTTCTAGACAAATGTCGCACTTTCTCTTTCAGATCAAACGGTATTAACCTACATGCATGAACTCACTGACTGAGTGATTGGACCACACACTTTGGTTTTAGCTTTACAAGACCCAATTGAAAACCAACCTGTATAAATGGTGCTGTACACTGGTAATCACCTAATGTTAAGCAACTGATTAAGATTGTCATACATGTACATGTGAGATTTAAAATTCTCTAGCAAATTGGGTAAAATTGCAACAGAAATTTTCAGTTGCATCATTCTAATAATAATAAGACTTTAAGACTTAAAATTAATTGAGATTTTTGGAAAATACTTACGTGGGGAATAAGGTGGAAAACTCCACTCCCACTTAGCACACCAACAGCAAGGGACACCATAAACAGCAGGAGAATCTTGTAAAATGATTGGTTCATGAATGGGACAACAAAGGCTCCGAGTAGAGATGCACAGCTGATGATGGTTACTGACAAGAACCCGAATCCCCATGCTGAAAAAGAAAATTAATAAATTATAGTCCAACCTCTTCACAATGGCAAGTGGTCATTGTAGAGAGGTGGTTGTTACCCACAAGACACCAGCCTAAATCCAAATTACGATTGCCAATGTTCTGTGAAGTGTGATGGCTTACATGTATGCATCTAGCTTTACCTCTGGTCAAACCCCTAAAATAGTCAACTGTGAAAAAGTTGGGGTTGATTCAACCATAAGAATTCAACAAAAGTCCCAAACTCCTTCTTTAGACACATGCAACAAGAATACAGTTTCTTCCTTAATATCCAGGAAATTCGACTACCACTCTAGGAGACTAGTGAATATTGTCTGTATCTGAGAGATGCCTAGATGATCAGGAAGTGATGGTGAATCTGGACAGGATACCAACCTTGAGATTTACTTTGTGTTGTATCTTCTTCCTCCTCTACTTCCTTTTCCACCAAACATGCTTTACTCTCAATTTGCTCCACAAGTGCTGGGCATATTTTTTCAAATTTCTCTGGATTCAGCCCATTAGAATCAACAGAAAAGGATTCAAACAGTACTTTGGCTGGGTAACACTGAAACAAAATAATAGAAACCAAAATATAAACTAACTGTAAATATAACTTATAAATCTATTAGTGTTCAGACATATGTTCAACATGATTTATCCAGGTGATCATGGTGAGGTTAACTACATGTACCCTTTTGAACAACTGGGTCCAGCAAGGAAATGAGTCACTTGTGCACATGCAAGCTTAGCCGGTGTAGCAAGCATTCCTGTTCAAAAAAAATCAATGAAGCACAGGGTGGTGGCGTGAGGGAGGGAACATTTTGCCTGCAAACCCCTGTCTATTATATACATACTTGTGTGGAGGGCAATAATAACTAAATGTTCAGCTTAAGACCAGCTTTTCCGGTGGTTAAACTTTAACCGTTCATTAGCTGGACAGTCATTTTATTCTCTTGCTGCTACAAAAATATCAACCGTTGAATTATAGAACCGACTGGAAATCAGAAGCCTTTGTTGTAAAATTGTCAGTGTGAGTTAATTCGCTTTTGCAGAGAAAACAACAACCAGTCGCTGGGTTCTAAAATTCGGACTCACGTTATCTAGACAAGAAAAAGAACTCAGTAATGCTAAGCGGGGTTGCCAAGTAAGACTATCAAAGATTGGCTCTCCTTCCCGGGTTCCTGTTTGATCTATTGCTTTAAAACAGCAGCTGAAAGATTTTAAAAGCCTTTGTCGAATCCAGCAGGTAATACAGCCACAAACTCTTTACTCTCTAAAAGATGGTATCTTTTGAATAAAATTAAATACCATTCACCTCAAGTCTAACAAATCTTTGCTGGGGCTAGTCCAATTTCACAAAACTTCCCCCACAGAATTGTGCAAGTCACATTTGAGTTATTCCTGAAATCATTCAAGTAAATTTGATACACTTGTCAATCAAGATGGCCACACCGCACCAATCAGGAGCCCCATTCATAGGCGAACAGGTTTTTCAAAATCGAGGGGGTTTATATTTGTCTTCCCTCACAATGAAGACACTAATTTTTTCAACTGAGTTTTAATCCACTGAAATTTGACTACCATTGTAACAAAAATACAAATAAATCAATTGTAATTCCAAACAAAAAGAATCACTACTTCAAAACATTACTTGCAGAGTCTGCTAAAGGGCGGATTTAGACCTGGCCTTAAGGATTTTTTTTTTTTTTTTTTTTTTTTTAAAGTGGAGCATTGCCAATTAAAGTTTCGCACTGCCTGCATAAACAAGAAAATATCATCAATCGATTACCCGAAAAAGTCACGTTTTATAATCAAGCAAAGTCTTTTTTTTTTTCAATCCAGAAATCACGTAACAGTTTCAAACTTGACTTGGTTTCTGGGGATTTTAATAAAGAATTCCATGCAGTGGCCTTTTGTGAATTTCAGTGCCACGTGTGAATCACTGACATCAAGGACAAAAAGAATCCGCAGTTTCGGAATTAATTACAAACTACATGTGAAAGTTCCACGTCAAATGAATTCGAAACCCCAGAGACCGATTCGTTACTGCATCCTTAGCTATCCTTTCTTTTGTTACTTGAGCTAATATTCACTACACTTCAATGAAGAAAACGTCCCGTCTGCAAAGCAGAAGTTTCAAGTTAGTTTGATGTTTTAGACATTCTATGCAAACTTAATAAAGCTTTTAAAACTCTTACAACCAACGTGCTTTTTTCATATAACCTAAGCTTAAGTTGAACGAAGCAAAAAGGACAATTTGGCTTTAAGTGAGATGTAATTCAGTAGAAATATTTCTTTATGTTACATAAAGTTTGAATTATTTAGTTCGCGAAACGAATACAAGAGCAGAGCTCTAAGAGATTCGATCTAAAATTCAATAGCCTTACCTCTGAATGCCCATTTTTCACTCCATTCTCTTTGCCTGATCCAGCTTTGGTTTTCGCTTCGCTTGTAATGAAACCAATTTTAAGTTCCTTCATGAGAGAACTGAACTGTCTTAAACTCATAGATTTGTTGGTACCATACTCTGCGAACAAACTATCAACAAAAGACTTGGCTGCCGGTCCATTGATACTACGAGCGTCGTCATGAGATAAAACGTGAGAATCTGTTCTTGGAATTAACGCCAAAATGGATAGCAAGGCTAAAAAGCAGCCGGCTTTCGCTGATTCCATCGAAACTATGTTTGATCAATACTACAGTGCACCAAATTATGCCAGAGACGTTTCCAAACACATGCATGTAATGTACACGTGAAAATGCCAGGATGACCCTGCTGGTCGGTTGTAATTAAATCCTACCGCTCATAAGGACAACCGAGAAGTACTAGGAGCGAGTTTCCGAGTCGAGCAGTTTTCGGAAACTGTCGGCTATTCCAATATGGCGGACTATACCAATCAGATAATATGCGAATTGCTAGTGGTAAACTATGTTGGTCAACAAGACAAGTACGTTTTTATTTACCTGACATGTTAAGAATAATGCGTAGAGAGTAAAGCAGTGAATTGTTTGGCAAATGCTGTATATTTCTTTGGGTCTCTTCCCGTCTAGTTCGTAAACCGTAAATTTGTAAGCTAACACTGCAGACGTCTGTGACTTAGGCACAAGAGTTTTTAAATACGTCTTTCCTTGGGGACGAATGTTTTTATTGAGCTCTTGATTCGGTGGATCCCTGAATTCAAACTTCCTTTGCTTTGTCCCTTCGGTCGGTAGGATCTTGAAAATACTACCGGCCAGAGGGACAGCTTGTGTATAAGGTAATTGGACTTAAATCCATGCACAGTTTCTTTGTAGAATAGCTTGGTACATTGTTCTTTAGTTTTATACAACACTAGAATCACTCTACAGTAACATTTTCAGTGTTCTGTGATCTTGTCCCTCTGGCTGGTAGGATCTTGAAAATACTACTGGCCAGAGGGACAGCTTGGGTATAAAGTAATTGGACTGAAGTCCATGCACAGTTTTATTTGTAAAATAGTTTGATACATTACTCTTTAGTTTTATACTACACTAGAATCACTCTACAGTTAAATATTTTCAGTTTTCTGTGATCTTGTCCCTCTGGCTGGTAGGATCTTGAAAATACTACCAGCCAGAAGGACAGCTTGTGTATAAGGTAATTGGACTTAAGTCCATGCACATTTTTGTTTGCTTAATACTGGGAAACTCGCTCCTAGTACTTCTCGGTTGTCCTTCTGAGCGGTAGGATTTAGGCACAACCCTGCTGGTCACGAAGGTGTAAGCTTGGTATCCAGGCCTTCATTTTTCTAACCCAGACTCCCAAATCGAGCGGTGTAACCTGTTCATTCTTTTGGTAAAAGAGATCAAGGAGAAAACTGGTGAACTTTTCTTAATACAATCAAAGCAGAGGGAATATACCTCTGGGTCTCCAAATATGAACTGAACTCTCTGAAAAAGCCTTGTAATGGCATACACTTTCCGTTCCTAGACAACAGAGTCCAACTGACCTAGCGCAATCCTTAATTTCCTCAACAGCATAAAAGACAAAACTTTCTTAGCATTGCTGGTTTTCAGTGTCACGCCATTCAAAATAGATCAAAATAAAAATCAAAACCATGCTGGTGCCCATCCGTATGGGCACCAACATGGCGGCCGGAAACCAGTAGAAACATCTGTCACCGAGTTTTGCTACAAAAGCGTGAATTTATCCCTCGAGGAACTCTAACACATTAAAAGAATACTTTTTCTAAGACATGAACTGTTCAGATAGCCAAGTTCCCTGAAATAAGTCACTTT